TTAAATTCAAGGGTATAAATTTTATAAATTAATAATAATTATAAGGACCTCTTAATGTCTTAATAATAAATGATAATTTTAATGTCTTTATAATAAATGGTAATTTTAATGTCTTAATAATCAATGATAATTTTAATGTCTTAATAATCAATGATAATTTTAATGTCTTAATAATAAATGATAATTTTAATGTCTTAATAATAAATGATAATTTTAATGTCTTAATAATAAATGATAATTTTAATGTCTTTATAATAAATGATAATTTTAATGTCTTAATAATAAATGATAATTGCTGCACTCTTAAAAGTCACCAGTAATATGATTCTTTCATAAGAACAAATTATAAGTGACTTATTTTATTTGTAATGTGGGAACAGTGTTTTGATTGATTGTATGGTATCATAACATTAACTTAATTACAGGAGGAAAATATTTTGCTTTATGTGGATGATTTTTTTCTTTTAAACCTAGTCTCTTAAAATCCTAAAATTTCCAAACTAAACAACATAAAATGACTTGGYGTTTGTATATTTAACCAGCTCTACGCTCTTGGACGACACATGATTAAATAAACTATTATTCTTATTATTTAAAACCACTATAAGCAGTAATAGCGTAAAACAGCACATACATTTTTTTTTACTAATAGATTGTGTGCCACTAATATAGAATCACTTTAGTTTGTGTCTAACCAATGTATTTTACGAGCTGCATAGTTAGACTCGTAAATTGTCTGGTGTTCATTGTAGTTGAAAAAATTAATGTACCCATGTTGTTGATAAATATACATATGTAAATCCTTTAAATGAATAATATTTGTTGTAGATGTAATGTAATGTTTTCCCCTTAAATACCACTTGTCATTCCCTTGTGTATTATTTCTTTGTTTGCCAGTGACACTTAAGAAGATACACTGATATGAACGAACAAAAGATTTAATTTCCAAGGGAATAACATGATCTGAAATGAGAAAGCATTTCGCATGAGCTGAACAGATTAATGACAACGTTAATTTGGTTGAAAAAGTAAAAACTTCTTTTAAAAAAAAAATCCTGTAAGAAATGTGAAAAGTTTGAGGTTTTTTTTTTTTGCCCAACCAGTTATCATTTCTTTTGTGATTTCTCAATATTTCTTACTCATGACCTTAACAGTTTGTGTTGTTGATTGTATTTTTTCTTTCTGTGATACGTTTTTAATTTTAGTAAATAATCTTTCATACCATCTTTATTTTTGAACCTATTTATATTTCTATCAAATTATGTTTTTTACCATGCACATAGCACAGAAATAATTTATAACTGTTTCATTGTATATAGGTATTGATTTCCCCCTTTATACCWCTATGTTATTAGGTACATTGAAATCTTCAAGAGTTCTAAGTCAGACATAAGGTTTGTTACTAAACCCAAACCGCTGATGTCAACAAGACCTGGTCCTTATGACAGAATGGGTGGCTTTGGGGGGCCACGATTTGGACGTGGAGACTATGAGAGAAGGTTAGTTGAGTAATGGTGTTGTCCTCTGTATRTTCTTCACCCTCTTCCTGAAAAAAACGTATTGCGTAGTTCAAGAAATTATCCATACATCCCTACCAGAGGAATTTGGAAATTGTATTGGGGGGGGGGGGGGGGTTCAAAGAAAGAACAAAATTACAGAGTTTGAATGGAAGATAATTGGAATTTCCGGGGGTAGGAGGGGTGTGCAAAAAAAATCCTCTGTGGGGAATTGGTGTTATGGATAATTTCTGGAACTACTACACATTCACATGTATGAGAGGGTAGTCAGTCCACAACAATAGCATGAAAAGCAGTTTGAAATAGACCTTTCCCAAATTTGCTTGACTGATCACGAAACTTCAAACCATTGTTTCGTGGTCATCCAAGTGAATTTGTGATAGGTCTATTAATTGACAACTGAATGTGAAGTGCCTTTGATCATATCCATTTCACTCTAATAGATGTATGCATCTCTTGTTTCTTTCCTAGGTACAGGGGTGGCGGACGAGGWAATTATGGTCCAGTCTTTGGAGGTGGATACAATGGTGGGGGCTTTGGCAATGATTTCAACAGCTATGGAGGTGGTGGTGGTGGCAGAGGCCGTGGAGGGCGTGGACGAGGCGGACATGGTGGTAGAGGAGGTGGTGGTGGGTTTGGATTCTCTGGTCATAGTTCAACCGGCCACACTGTCTCAATGAGAGGGCTGCCGTTCGCAGCAAAAGAAACAGACATCAAGCAATTCTTTGCTCCCTTGAATCCTGTCGACATCAAGATCAGGTGGGGTCCTGATGGACGCTGTTCTGGAGAAGCAGAAGTGGACTTTGCCAGTCATTCAGATGCACAGGCAGGCATGTCTAAAGACAGACAGTCGATGGGTAGGTCAACTGTTAGTTTAACGCACCTATCAATGTTAAACCCCGGGGGGAGTGGGGTGACCTCAGGGGAATTGACATTATTCAATAGGGATATTAAAAGATTACGAAGAAAATGGATAGATTTGGTAAAAATATGACATTTTGATTATAACTGGTGATATCTGTAATATTACATTTGTTATCATGGCTAAACGCAAGAGCCTCAAAGTAGCCCTAGTACATACAACGCCATTTGAATTATGGTATCACTTTGATAGCTAATCAATTTAACCAAAGATTCCTTGGGGAAGGCTGTGCTGGATCGGCAAACAAACTTTAAATTGCTTTATAAGGTAAAAATGGTTTGGGAYATGACATWAGTAATCCAGCAAAAGTTATTTAAATGAAGAAAGTCCAAATTTTTTTGCCATCCAGTAATATCCGACCAAGATAATAAAAGTAGCAAGTTTAATTATACATGTGTTGAATAATGTGTTGTTTTCAGGTCACAGATACATTGAACTCTTCCTGAACTCTGTTCCTGATGGTAGTGGTGGTAGTGGATGGGCCCAGCCACCGAACCGAGGGAATGATAACCAGCAGGTTGCAGTAGGAGGAGGAGGAGGAGGCAAGTACTGATATTTTACAACCACTGCTCCCCGTACGGGGCTCTTCCATGGGGTTCCCTCCACACGCACTACATGTACCACTACATTCTATATTTACAATATACAACACTCGACCCACATTCTGATTTTTACGGAGGGAGGAAACCAAACAAACAAATTSTCTGTTGCTCAGAGTTAGCCTTGATTTTCAGGGCTCAAAATAGGAAAAAARGTAGCTTGCCATAGTAAAGGAGCATGCTAAAAGGAGGTCATTGCAGTAAATTTTGCATTCCATTTTATTATTCATTGGGCAGTGCATCATCATTTTTGCCTGCCAAACCTGAAATTTGGCCTTTCATTTGGCCATTGGCAGGCCGCTATTTAGAGCCCTGGATTTTGTGCAAATATTCATGCATTCCAGTGAAGGTCCGTGGAATCTTAAAGCGTTTGTATTGTTCCATGATCGAAATGAAATTTAAAAATGGGTTTTGTTTGAATTAAAGTTCCCATGACCATGTGAGTACTCCAGATTCTTCTGCCAAGCTATTTAAGMTGGCTATAATATTATTTTCAATTTTTTTTCCCAGGCGGGAACTACAACAACACTAACATGAATTATGGCAATGCTGCTTCTGCAGGAACCTACAGCAGTAACACAAACTACACCAACTTCAGCAACACTGCAAGCACAGCTGCAAACCAGACATATACCAACCAAGCAAACACTGGAAACTTTGGCAACCAAGTGACTGGCAGTTTTGGGGGGCAACAGACAATAGCCAATCCAGCACAGACCAATATCGCCAACCAGCCATTCAACCAGAGTGCTAACACGTACACAGCTACCCAAAATACTGGGAGTTTTGGGGGGCAGACCAATACTGGGTACGGACAGTCTGGGTATACAAACTATGCCACCCAAAATACTGGGTATACAGCACCACAGACTACGAACTATGCCACCCAAGGAACTCCCCAGGTACAAGCAACCACGCCATTCACCCAGGTGCAACAGCAACCACAACAACAGCAGCAGCAGCAACAGCCACAACAGCAACAGACTGGGTATACAGATGCTTATGCAACGACTGGCAGTGATTCATACTTCGCCAGCATGAATCAAATAAAGCAGGATCCTAGTAACCAAGGCAACGCTATGACGTATACTGGTTACTAAGGGCAACCACTATCTTTATTAGAGACATTGGATTGTTAGAAAACTAGAGCTCTTGCAACAGGACTTTCTTGAGGGGAAAAACGTGTATTCAAATAGTGCTGGGGAAAAAGTTATATTTGTATGTAGAGCACTAGAACAATTTATCATTGTAACTAAGATTTACTACTCTTCTCAGTAGACCCAGGCAGTTGCATTTCAAATCGACCACGTGATGCCAGTGTTGTAACATGTGGACAAGGTTTTACAACACGTGACCAAAGCGCAGTCAAGTTTTAAACTTGTTCATGTGGTATAGCAGTGGTATCACGTGGTCGATTTGAAATGAACTTGCGATTAGCATAACAGACGCTACGAAATTCATTACTGCCTGGGTCTACTGTTAAGATCGGTTGTAAGAGGTATGTACCTTGATACTAATGATTCAAAGAGCACATTAGATTACATTAGAGCCAATTTCATAATAGAGGAAATGATACCGCAAACTACGCGCTGTGTTTGGATGAATTACTGAAGGACAATGTAAGCCATATCAATGTTACAGCATGTCGTATCGTGTACGTGCTGTAACTCGGTACCGTATGTTTCCCACTCATACGATAATCATTCTTATGGGAAGCCATTTCAATGTTACGATATGTCGTATCGTGAATGTGCTGTAAGTCGGTACCGTATGTTTCCCATTCATACGATAACCATTCTTATGGGAAGCCATTTCAATGTTACGACATTTCGTACCGCGCATGTGCTGTAAGCGAGTACTCGTACGAAAATCGCTCTACGATGGTTGCATCAGGACATTTAGTACRAGAACTTCAAATTTATAATTACTTATAAGACATGATAAAAAAGCATCTTAGAAGGACGTGTAACTCAGACAAATTTGCTCTCTTTTCTTTATTACTCTCGCGTTTATTCTTTCTTTCCTTAACGAGAATTTTGGAACGGTTTYGTTCAAAATTATTTGGCTTGTTTTGTTKTTTGTTTTTGTTTTTGTTTTGCTAACATTTTTAATTAAACGATTCGTTATACTGAAGTTGGTGTGTCACCTTTATTCTTTTATATTCAAATAGAGTAAAGACATTTACTGCAACTTTCATAAACATGCCAACCCTGTGGCTCCTTGGAAATGACGAAAGTTACGAAGTTATATATATATATAATAATAATAACTTTATTTCAAGAGGGTAAAACACATAACAGATACGCAAGGTACTGATAAACTAGTGGCCCTCAAAGATCAAATGTTTAAGATGAACTGCTYTGTCAAATTTTTGTCAACAAGTGATATTGATGTGACGCCCGTTTTGTAGATATTTGTATTTTTTATCGTATTTTATCGGTTGTCAAAGGGAGAAACTCGAAATTTTCAAGCTAACAACCTTAGTTCTCCTTGTTAATGGGGGATTGTATTATTGACTGCGGGGGGGGGGGGGGGTACCCCACTATATTAGCTATATGGGTAGGTGCCGCCAAACAAGGTATGGTTTTCAAGGATTCAACTCTGGAACAGGGTATATAAAATCGCGCTCGCTCTGGAACAGGGTATAGAGCAGTTTTCGTATGACTGTGAAAAGCTCAGTGCCGTAAGCGTGACGTGCCGTGACCGTTATGCTTTCTAGAATTTTAATTGRCTGATTTTTTTCACGCGCAATGTGATTGGTCTGGCATTGCCGTGACCATGGCGTGACCGTGTCCGCGCCGTGTTTATGCCGTGTTCCGAGTATTTGATTGGATGGAGAGTAAATTCTCGTGCAATGTGATTGGTCTGGCGTATCCCTTGCCGTGTCATGGCCGTGCTCGTGTCGTGAATTTTTC